TTGTATTCAAACAGCATTACATGCCAAATGTGTGTCTCATCGTGTGCCATAGAGTTTAGAGTATACTAAACTTTACACATTATACAAGCTACACTAACATGACATTTAGGTGGTTCGTTTAACTAATGTATGTTATTTGGGGGGTTAATGAAAGTGTTCCAAAACGCGACATTATTTTCTTGACGACCTAATAGAATGGCAACTGGAGAGATGAAACTCCTATTTGGTGTAAATAACAAGATAAAAATGTGTTGAGGGCCATCCACATTCTTCCTTGCTAGATCTCATCAGGACATGACATGACTAATTTTATGGAGAGCGAGATGCAAAAGGCTTAAAGACATCATCCCACAAGGAAGAATACATAAGCCAAATGAGTTATTTAACCTAACTAGTCAAAGTGAAAACAGATAAGTCACGAGAAGAAGAGAAGGAAATTCACAGCAAGAAAAAACAATGTTAATGGCCTCTAAAGAGAGCACTATGAATGATATAACCTAGGACAACCCATACAGGACAAAGATGGTGACTGAGGTCAGAACTATCATACAGAGAAGAAATGGAATGGAGGATAATTGGAAAAGACATCCAATCACCCTCCCAAGCAGCCCAAATCTTGGGGAGGAAGAAACAGTTGGGGAAGAAAATTAACTTGGCCCTGAGGTAACGAATGCAGTAGGTATCCAAAGTAAAATGTCAGAGTATCATTACCATAAGCAAGAGGAAGAAGAAAATGCATCATTATAGAAAGATGGTATAGAGAACAGGTAAACAAAGGTTTGAGTAGGAGACATGTGGGAACCCAGAGTACTAAACAGGGATTCCAGTAAAGAAAAGAAACCAGAAGAAGACAAAAATGATGAAAGAGGCTCAGAAGAGATCCATAAGAAGCAGAGAAAGAAAAGAATAGTACCTAGGGAAGAGATGGAAAGTCACTGACAAACATATAGATAGAAACTGGACTAATGCTAAAACAGAATATCTCTAACCAGAAATGCACAGCATTAGACTGGTGACTAGAAAAGTGGAAACCTGGTGGCAAAGGGAGTTGCAAAGGCGTCGATGAGAGCACTTCTAAAGTGAGAATATAACTACTGAAACACCAGAGGATGTAGAAATCACACCGTAGAAAGGTATTCATCTAGTTGAAACAGCTGATCTGCTACTAAGTTCAAACCTTCTGGGATGTGACAGGCTAACAAGTGTATTAGGTGGTCATGAGCCCAAAACAGAAAGTCTCAAGTCACAAAGCAGAAGTCCTGAAAGCAAGCACCTCTCTGTCACACAATGTAGGCAATGACAGTGGAGTTGTATAAATGGACCATAAGAAGATGTCCAGACAGATGAGATAGAAGATGATGGAAATACTAAAAAGTTATGAGCAAGAGTAAAAGAAGAATATAATATACCAACTACACAACATCTATCATATCCTATGTAAATGAAGCCTTTCACACCCAATATCAGGGCTCATCAGGCCAACTGAGATACAGCAAACGTAGTAGTGGTCAAGGTGTTACTTATATTGTTAGTTTTCATGAACAGCAACTGATATGGTGTGAAGTAGATTAAGTAAGTGAATTGCACTTATTAACAATTTTATTTATGTCATTTACAAATCAATTTTTTTATGGTAAGGATTAATAACACAATATTATATATTTATTTTTAACACCAATTACTTATTTGTTTATTATATATAACTTTATTATCATTTAAAAGAATGGGCCATTCACCAAGCTTGTTTTCTTTTTGAGCAGCCTTTTGGACACTGATATAAAAAAGACTGCTCCTCTGGAGACCACCTGCACTTGCCCACATAGAAAGATATCTATGAAGAGACATAAATCTGAGCAAATTGAGAGAAAGGGATGCTTAGTGTCATGTGGGACTGACCGAGTCAACACAACAGTGGGAAGCACAAGAAAAGACAGCAGATTTCTGGACATACTTCAGTTATTTGCCAGAGTCCACTGAAAATGAGGCATAAGGTCACTTTTGTGAGGAATAAGGGATTTGAGATAACTCAAGAGTCCCCAAATGAGACAGGACCTCTTGCGCATTAAGAGAAGGAGACATAAGAACTTTGGTAACTGAAGCTCCATGTCTTAAATATGTAAAAGAGAAGGCCGAGCCTGCCCCACAAATGAGTTGAAAAAGACTTTATAAAATACAATAAATAAAATACAAGCAAAGTATTGTATGATTGTTTGATTTAACACAAAACTACACAATAAGTCATCTGTATTCTATCTGCTGTGGGAAAATGAGCCCAATACTGTAGCATGTTAAATCCATATATAAACTGACTACTGACTCACCAGAGACCATGACCGACCAACCAACCAACCAATCCTAATGAGATGACTCCTAAAGGAAAAGCAATGTTACAATCAAGGATGCCCCTTTAGATGGGGCAAGGAGGAGCCAGACAACATACAGTAGTGGACACGTAGGCCAAATGAGTGCATCCTCTATGCCTTCAGGACGACCCAAATGAAAACATATAGGGTCATAGCCAACCCAAAAAGAAAGCATTGGAATTGAAAAATCTTACCTTCATGGACAAATCAGAGAAACTGATGCAGTCAACAAATCACAATGTAAATAAATGCTTCCAAAACACTGACTTTGGTCATTCACTGCCCAAGAGAGAGAGAACCCACCTCAGACTGAGAAAATCAACAATCTTAAAACAAGGGATGACAAAAAATTAGTTCAACAACAATAGAATAATGATAAGTTGCTAACTGCCTGGCTTCTTAAGAATGACAAAAAGATAAGAGCAAAACTCCAGTTTGAGGTCAAGAACTGGTCCATGGAGTTCATAAACTGGGCAGAAGGTATAGACTCCTCAAAATGTGCCAAAGATGCAAGGAAACTAAGGGAGTGTAAAGAGGAGGTTGAATGTGGAAGGACAGGGAAATTTCATGAGAAAGCACCTGTTTGATCTAAAGATATTCTGCAAAGTGGGAAAGCGTAGAGCTCTCACTGGAATAAAGCCAAAGGTTGGCTCTAAGATGTTGAAAAGTATTGAAAAGATGATAAGCAGGAGAGGGATGACTATGAGGCTCCCAAGGATAAGAAACTTGAAGCCCCATGGACTGACCAAAATAGAAAACCAAAGTAAACAGAGAATACTGCTTATAAGCTGCCTCAACTCAAGTTTCAAGTGTATAAGGAACTCTACAAAAAACCTCATCACAAAGAAAAGATAGCACATGGAGGTTCCCAAGTTAAAACTGAGGGAGATGACTCCAGAAAGTATGAGCATTCCAGCAAAACAAATCCCAGAAACAAAGAAACCAAGTTAACTGGGGCATTGTGGAAAATTTTAGAAACTGAGGACAAGGTACAGAACAGGTAGGTATGACTTTACCTAAATGAAGCTGTCAGGGTTGCAACGCAGAGCCTCTGTAAGAAAATGAAGTGTGGACAGATAGTGAAGAAGCTAAGAAAGAGCAAGATGAGCAGTTTGAAGGTGAGTGTAAGACTAAGAATGAGAAAGAAGAGATCCCCAAGCTGGAACAAAGAATCATGATAAAACACCTTAAAATACAATTCTTGACATCTGGGGGGATGAGGCAGGTAGGGTATGATAAGAAGCCAACACAAAAAGGTATTGGCAAGAACATAAATATCAGAGGAGGGTAGAAAGATAACATAGGCTGAAGGAGGTTCATGCAGGAAGATAGCCAAGATTAAGCAAAAAAAAAAAGTACTTAAGAAAGAGAAAAAAATGTCGCATGCCTGTGGAAACAACTCAGCAAAGGAAAATATGGAGCTACCTGTTCCATGTTAGTATGTGAAAATCATCAAAAGACAGGTCAGGCTCAGTTTAAGCAAGATAATCAGGAGGTCAGGAATCCTGGATTCGAGGTAAGAATGGAACAAGCCACCTGCAGAATGATGGTAATGTAACTAACTGACAGAGTTCCTTCAGTCACTACTAAAATCAGTAACAATCAATGCCTGTTATAGAGTGTTATGGCCTCATGAGGTGTCAAAAACATGAATATGAGAGTTTGTAGTTTAGCTGATCCAATTACTTTTAAATATTTTTCATAATGCAGGTCTAGTATATCCATGACACATAAGCCTTTGTTATTGTCATAATGATGAAATTGGAAATTAATTATCAAAGCCTACACAATGGGGCAATAATGTTAAGAAACAGTGCTGTCAAAGAAACCATATAACAAACTCAGGAATTTGTCCCAAAATTTCATAATTTGATGTGAAGATATTAAATTAACATAATTTGTATAGTTAAAATAATAAGCCCAAATTTAAATAAATCTTAATGAAATAAAAATTGTGAAACCAAGCAGTAACAAAGAAATAATGAGCTTGTGGTAATCCAGAAGGTGCTCAAGGGGACTACTGCACATGGAAGATGTGTCACCCTCCTATTGGTGGAGGATAATAGCCTAATGTTGATTGCATTGTTGACTGGTACAGCGCACATTAATACATGTAGGGGTGGGAATTTCATTCAAAGTTTATCATATGCAAAAAATATTTTTGATAGTGGTATCATGTAATAGTTATAAGTTCTCTGGAGATGTGAGTAGCATTTCAATTCATAAACATATTTATAGTTAACTTTCATACGTAGAAACATTCATATTTCAGGCCATGACATTGAATTATATTTAATTATGCACACCAAAAAGAAATAAGCTAATTTAATTATTACTATAAAGAAGCCTACTGAAATAGGTGGTTAGCACAAACACACAAATTGACTAATTAAATGCCGTCTTCACATCACCTGTCAGTGAGAAAGGCACATATAAGCATTTTAGCATCTGTGGAGATTTCAATGTCTTCAGGAAAGTGGAGAGAGTTTTTGTGATCCATAATTTTTCCGTAAGTACCGACTAGAGAATCAGCATAGAAAGGAGTATCACCTGGAAAAAAATTAATCATTCAAAGTTATAACCAAGGATAGGTTATGTATTTTTTGCTCTTTCTGAGATTTTGTCTGTTTGAATTTGATTATCAATTTGGAGAGCTATAACATAATTAGCAACTAACATGCTAAGTGAAAGATATATTCCAATAAAAGGCAAAAAGTATACAAAACTCTTACTTATCAAAACAGAAAGCAACAGTTTGACAGCATTTGACAAATGTAAAATCTAAACAAACAAATTAAGAAGAAAGAAAACTAATAGATCAAAATTTTCTTACTTCCAACAAAAATGCATTTTAATCTGCTTTCAACCTGCTGAGAGAATTATTTAATTGAAAATATCATTTGTTAAAAAATACTAAAGGTTTTGCTCAAAATGATTTGTTTAATACATAAAACAGACAGTTCTTGTGCAAAAAACTTAAATAAAGTTAATAAAATGAGACAAACGTTTTTTACTTACACAATAATTTAGTTGCAAAGTTTAAAAAATATAAGTTAAAAGAATGTGAGATTGTGTCATCCATGCTCACAAAAAATGTCCTCATTTTAGTCTTTTGTTTAGAGGGCTGTTAATGTTTCATCATAAGATGAGGATTTGATGTTAGAATTAACATATTTAAAACATGTAGCGATTGATAGAGGGTATCAACCTCAAATCATAGATAGGATGTAGAGTAAATATTGTAACAAACTTCAAATTTCTGGATGTACTAAATTGCAGATAACTAAAATGGAAAGTAGAGAAAGAAAATGTTTGCCCTATATTACACTATGGTCATTAAAAATAGGTAATGTGTTTAGGCAGAATATGAATTGCCAAGTAACATTTACTCTTCATTTAAAATTAACTCATATAATTAATGATTTGAAAGATAAAATTGAATGAAGGGATAAATGTGGTATATATAAAATTTCATGTACTTGTGGTCTAAGTTATATTGGACAGATAAGAAGGAACTTAACATTTAGAATAAAATAACATCAAAATGTGGTGGATAAATTAAAAACAGTTGAATTGGCTTTGGCAGAACATGTGGCAAATTCTACACGTTATTAATTGGGATAATGTAAAAATACTTAAACAGGTAATGGAAAAAGATTAAATAAACATAAGAGAATCCTTAGAAGTTGTTAAAAACAAAATGAATATAGAGATTTAGGCCCAGGAGTCATGGAAGTAATCTTTCGGAAATCATTGTTGTAAATGGCACCATTGTCAAAACATGCTAATTATACACGTGCATTAGGTTTATAAGAAACTTTGTGTGTACTTTGTGATTTATTCTCCTGAAGATGGTGGATTTATTTTAACATATATTTTTAAAGTTTACAAATAAATTATTGTGCAAGTGAAAAACGTTGATGTCTCATTTTATTAACTTTTATTTTTTTCTGCCACTCTCAAGTAATTAAAATTTATTGACTCCAATCAAACATTTCTTGCATTCTTACTCATTATATCTGATTTTTTTAATACCTTATTATTATTGTGTAAAAAAAAGTCAATAGTTTTTACTAGAATTTTATGGTTGTTTTTAATAATTACTGAATGTATTTTTTTCACCCTTTAACAAGTGACAGATGGTTATAATACATTAAATTAACTTGCTTCAAAATCAACAATATTACTACAAAGTAGTAGCTATACACTGGAAGATAAACTTAAATCTTCATTAAACCTGACGAAAATGAGAAGTACTTACCAACCAACATTTCATATAAAAAGACACCCACAGACCACCAATCACACTCCCTCCCATACAACCCTTCTCCTCCCTGGGATTTGAGGACTTCAGGAGATATATAGTCAGGGGTCCCTACAGCTGTGTCAGATCTCACAAGACCATCCTGAATATGAAGAGACGTCTATACATAAAAACTGTTAACCTATCTAGTATTAGTAAATAAAAACACTAAGTTAAAAACAGGTAGTTTAATTCTCCAAATATGTGGACAATAGAATGATGAGGATCTATCAAGTAAATAATTCTTTTTAAGTAGCTATTAATACTACACAATAGTTTAATTAAAATTAATGTCTATTAACCAATATGGCAATGCCTTAAATATATTTAGATAATAATACTTCAGTAAATAAACTGCTTCTATACTACTTCTTAACAACTTGAATTATTAGGCCAGTAAATGAACTTTTGGTCCATATAACAGAAAAACTATGTATACAATCTATTTGGTTTTAAATTAAATGTAATTATTTTACATCACCAAAAATCAACCCAGATATTTATATTCAAAATGGTATCAGATTTAAGTTTTATAATGTTTATATCACATTTCCCAATGAACCTTGTAAAAAGCTGTTCAAAAAGCTTCAGGGAAAAGGAAACAATTCTTAATTATTAGAAACAATTTATTTAAAGCTGACTAAAGAATGAACTGCACACACCTGATCCATTCTCATGCAGGTTCCAAAATCTGCCAACTTGAGATGTCCATGTTTGTCCAGCAACATGTTGTCAGGCTTCACATCTCTGTAAACATGATTGAAAGTTCTTTACTTTAACTATATGAATACCAAGTAAATGCTTTAAAAAAATGCTTCATTGTATATCACATAATTATTTAAAGATGCATATTCATTATGACCTTTCAAACATAACTGTATAAATAACTCAGCACTGCTCCAATGTTCTACATTAATTAACTCTTTCCACATGGGCTTCATTGAAACAACCAAGTTCGTAACTATTTTGTACTCGTTACAGTTTCCATACTATAACTTTTAATACAGTACGTGTATATTCACAAAATTTGGCAGACTTTCTGTAAATGTTACAAGACTTTTGTACACAAAAAATTAATTTCTTTAATTAAGTATTTTTAATCAATATATGTCTGTGAATATATTGAGTAGTTTTGTTTACCAGTCTGAGTGCAAAGCGATTTTCATCTTAAGATTAAAAATACTTTTATTCATCTGAAAGTTTTATAATTTTATGTGCAATCTCTAAAACCTCCTTAATAATTATAAAATGTTATTTTTCATTTTATCTGTTATTTTTTCTCTATTCTAATGCTACATATGAGGGTAGTGAATTTGCCTGACCTCATAACCACTATAAAAATTCGAAATAAATCTCATTTACCATTTTTTCTTTCTAGAATGACTTCAAATTGTAACATGAAACTACATTTGTTCTTCCGAAATAGCTCTAAACTCATAACAGTATACATCTGTTTATAATTAACTTTTATAGTTTATTGCCTTTTTAACCATGTTGAAATTAATATTCCCACCATTACATTTGTAAATCATCAGGCAAACATGAAGCTCATGTTATCCTTATCAAATTACATAGTGTATGGGCTAGTCACGAGCATATCTCATGAAAAATTTATTATTATCATTTATTTTACCTAATCTATACACCGGATAGGAGAAGTGAAGAAAAAGTGTTATTCTTCACATTATATAGTTGCACAATAGCAGGTATAATGAATAAACTTAATATTCCAAAAATTAGAATACTAAGTTTATTTGTTATTTTTTACCTAATTTCTAATTTTTACATTTGAGTTACTTTTATAACAAGAAATAAAGTCCATACCTGGGTCATCTTTTTTCTTTCGACATTGATTGTTGATGACACTTAACCCAACTTTTATAAACATATATACACTAATGGTACTACTGCACTTAATAATTTTTTATTTAATTAAATAATGCACCAAAGAACACAGAATAATAACACGAAAAAGCAGACAATGTCCCAAAATTATCACAACTAATTACGTGACAAGAGCCATTAACAGTAAAATAAATAAAGTGAAAATAAAGTTTGAACTGAAAGCGAATCTAACAATTCTCTATACGGAAAACTACATAATATAATAAGTTATTTGATAGATTAAAACCTTGGCTTTCTATTGGTTATAAATAATATAGTATTAAATGTCAGAGAGAACAATTTCTGAATGAGAGGATGTGACATGAGTGGTCTGATTTTCTATTTTACTGCTTTGTAAGTAAATAAGATTGAAGTCTATGTAAATTATACTTCACCTGAGCAATTACAATATTATAATAAGCAATTTACATTAAATTTCGTACTTCTTACAGTGGTGGTAAATAAATTAGAGAAGAGGAGATACCTAGAGAGCAAATGTCACAATTTTCACACTAGGGGAAATTGAGGATTTTTTTAAAATACTGCCTTATAAAATTAGGAACTTAAAATATACATAATGTTAAAACTTGGATTATTAGCTATGTTTTATGCCAAGTGTATATGCACACCATGAGAAGAAAGTAGTTTAATTAAATTTTGCATTTTACTCACTAAAACCTCCAGATGTGTGCACAAAATGATGCCCATTCTGAAAGAGTTAAATGCAGAAAATTGACCTTGTATCCCAAATCTTGGCTACTCTTTTCTAAAACTTGCAATGCACTTAAACAACCTTGAAACTTTAAATATTAATAAGAAGTTTGCCATGCCATTCTTGGCCTACAGTACACTCACTTTAAGTACTGTTTGGCATAGAAAGTTTTAGTTCTTCAAGAATACATTTTAAAATGCTTTGACTGAAGCATCAAGAAAAACATATATAGATTATAGTGTTTGAATGTATCCTGATTTTCAAATAAATATTCATAAAATTGTCTTAATTTCTTTACTTGGGTGTCTTTTACAAATATGTTTCTAAGAAAATTTAGCTTCACAAACATATATGATAAAACTTGTTCTGATCAGCCTAACAAATAAATCAATATCAACCAAAACCTACTTTAACCCATCATCTGTTTTCACAGATGTTTTTAACAGGTCTGCACATCTTGATTTTTGTCCATATACAAAATAAAGTGTAATAGTTTCCTATCCACACAAGTTAACATTTTCTTAAATTGAAAATGTATTTCCAATAATACTTACCTCCTCTCACACTTATAGCTATTACTCAACTGCCAGGGTTTCTTTCTTTGCCCATCTAAGCAGTGGTCTGATTTTTTCTCTCTTGCTCCAGTCTTTTATACTCCACTCAACTGCCCTTGGTGATATTTATCTCGTGACACTCTCCACCTACGTCCATGCACCCTCTATCCCAGTATTGTATATAAGCACCTCATTCAGATAATGTTATCACTTTTTCGAGACTGACTCAATCCCAGTCTCTAACGCCGACTCTTAGTGGAGAGGAAGGATGGGAGAGTGAAAGGAGGTAAGTATTATTGGAAATACATTTTTGATATAAGAAAATGTTTACTTCCAAAACATACTTAAGGTACATTCTCACACTTATAGCTGGAATCCCACATTGAGAAGGTGAAGGGGCCAGTAAGGGCATTATCCCTACAGAAAGCATCTGCATAGACCATGGGTGTATCAATAGAAGATTGGCACCCTAGTTGGGGAACTGCACTACATCCAGAATAGGTATGCTTTTCACCTGGAACTTAATTCATGTGTTGTGGGTGAAATTTTACATGATTTATCATCTCTATAGGCCAAACTCCAACTAGATAGCTGAGGTTCCATTATTCTGGGTTGGAATTAAAGAGCCATGGTCTCTTTATCCCACGTTGGTGGCTAGGGCAATTGGACGGCAAACTCTATATATATATACAAACTTATGAGTGGATCCCAACCTATAGCCATAGGGTGACATATTCCAAGCCACCAGATTCACAACGAGAAAGTAAACAACACTGAAGTAGACAAACCTTCTCCTCCACCTGAAGAAGTCCGAAAAGTGACACCCCAGGCTTGAAATGACAGGAGTATGACTTACTCAACCTGAGGAACAATTATGTTCAACCAGAACCCAGGATGAAACCACTCTGCAATTGGAATTACAAGGAGGCAGTGGCCCTTCTTCTATGAACAATGTATTGAACTAATATTGATCAAAAAGAAGAGCCACTGTCAACCCAACCAGGTAGCCGAGCATCAAATATGAACCGGTATTATGAGTAGGTTCTCACGTAGGATGGTGCCACTCCTATCAATATCTGGGAAAAAACATCCAGCCTCTGTCCACCATCTCAGTGACTGGAAATCAGTTGTGGTAGTCTAAGTCCACTAGTAAAATCTGGTGGGTAATGTGTGTTGGGTAGCTCTAAAGAACAGTGCAATAGGTGAACCAAGTTCCCTAAATGTTTAAAAGAAAACCAACCCTGATTTATTCAATCCAAAGATTGGTAGGGATGGGCAGGATTCCCTTATGCTTTACTCCTGATGACCCATGATTGGCAGTCCAGCATAGTATAGTAATACCACCTGGTCAGCCTCTAGGTGGTCTTATGGAACACCTCATTTCTACAGAGCCTGTTACAACCTGTATAAAGTATATTGAATTAGTGGTTGCTGGTGTGGAATTGGTTTGATAAAAGCACACCTGCCTGGGCAACACTAACCACAGAGTGGGATCCAATGAAAAAAGAGGTAAGGGGCCCTGTAAAGTGAAGAGACAAGAGGAGCAAAAAAATATATCTCTTTATAATCTAGCTGATGTGGTCAAGATAGACATAGATGGTAGTCAAAAACCCTCAGAGGAAGAAATTGCCAGATCATGCAAATAATGTGAGATAAAAGTATTAGGAGAGGTCCACATACCAGCCTGCACAATGTCCTCCAGCAGGCAATTCAACCAGCCAGCTAAGGACTTATGAGATGTGGCTCTCAAAAGTTTCCTCACCAAAGCAAAGAGAGCTCAGAATAAGCAATATGGATCAATTTTCAAACCCACCTCGTCAAGATAATCAGGGATAAATCATGGGAAACTAAAGGTTCCCAATGAATAAAATTTTATTGTCTATCACCTGTAAAGGAGTTAGGGCAAGCCAAATAATACTTCAGGGCCCAAACTAGACATAACAAGTGATCAGAGCCCAAGCGGTTATAGAGGTAGAAAAATAGTGGTCAAATAAATTGGGGAGAAGGATTTATCCCCTTCCCTGGCTACCAGAGTCTCAGGTAGAATGGACCTGTCTGGGTATAGAAGGACATAAATAGAATGATAACAAGTCCTACACATATGCAACACAAACAACTCTGACCAACGACATCCACAAGCCAGCAACAACAAAAAATAAACTTTGAGAGAAAGGTGGTACATGGTACATGAGGGTAATGGCTCAAATTGATATTGATACAGACCTTAATATCCCAGTTAGGTAACTGAAAAAGCCTTTTGGGATGAAGAACTCAAAACGACCTGAGAAGACCAGTACTGGGGACTGACTTTTTGAGTATCAAAATGTAGTTAATAAAGCCATCTTATATAAGGTGATTGTAGACAATGTTAAACCCATGTCAAAAAAATGAGCAATGGTTGCACATTTGGATGAAGTGGGTTTAATTTCCTCTTGACACACCATTGTTGATATCTGTGCCATATCCTTTGATAAGTGTCCATTGTGGGTTTATAGAGAGACTGAGACAAATACATGGCAACTTTAGATGTGAAACCCCGATGCCATGTGAAGGACTGCATAACTTCCATACATGTAGCTTGATCTTTGGAATGTCTA